GTGACAAAGAGCCAGAGACAGCGAGAGACTGACCAACTGCCCCCCTCAAAAAAAAGTAAAATGTGTGTGGCCCCTCCCTTCCCCCTCCCCTGCCAGGGGTTAGAATCCTGTGCTGGGCTGTGATGGTAATGAGGCAGGATTCCTCCCCTGAGTCAACGAGATGCAACCAGCATCTGAGAGAGGCAGAGACAGGAGAGAGAGGCAAAGCCTCAGGGCCAGTGCCCCGGAGCCCAAGGGCAGACAGGTCCCCACAGGCTTCCCAAGGCTGTCACATTTTGTTACGGAAACAGACTGCCACGCCTTTCTACCGGCCAGCGCTTCAGGTGTGGAGCCACGAGGGCACTTTTTGCCGACGCAAGGGAAACCTACCCAAAGGGAGCTTCCAAAGGTTGTTGGGGAATTCCCTGGCCTTTTCAGCCCATCTTTCCACGAAGTGTCTGATACGCCCCTCACAGAAGCTGCACAGCAAACCAGCCAGTGGGAGGCCAGGAGATTCCCGTCTGACTGGCAGCTCCCAGAGAGCCGGATTATCTCACGTTCCAGATGTAGTTTCCCAGAGTGGGCAATACCGCCCCCTGGGGGCAACGGGAGGATGCAGGGAGGCTGCCAGTGCAGATCCTACCCTTGACCTTGTATTACAGGCAGCAGTACAAAGGCTGTCCATTGCCACCGGGTGCCGGGTCACTCATTTTTCCTGAAAGGGGGGCAGAAGGTCAAATGCGTCTGGAAGTTTCGGCTGTAGAGGCTTGTTCCATCAGTATGTCCCACCCCCAGGCACTCAGGTGGCGCTGGCCAGCCGGCTGCACCATTTCCTCTCTGAGGGGTCTGCGGGTGGGGTCTCTCTCTATCGCACTCACGCATCCCTAGGGCTGGCCAGATGAGGCAGTGGTTCCAGGCTTTGATTCTGCCTTTATGGCTTTGTTCCCTACACAGGGCACGGAGCAGGGAAGCTAACGTGCCAGCCGGGCACAGAACTTGGGTCCCCGGGCACTCAGGTGAGCAGACAAAGCTGTCTGCTGCATGCTGGGCCTGGACCTGCTTTCCGATCTACAGGGCAGGTGTCCACACCAAAAGGTTCCTGAGTCTCAGCCCTGCCACAAAGGAGCCCCAGGTTCAGCTCGGCCAATGCTGAGTCAGCATGGGGGTGGGGGGTGGGGGGAGAGGGCGGTTGTAGGGAGGTGAGAGGCTTCAGAGGCCAAACAGGTCACCCCCTCCCCGAGTGGACCAGGCCTTTCATCGCCCTTCCTCTGGATAGAACCCTGGGGCTCAGCTGGTCCTCAATGCCCTGGGCACTCCTAGAGTCCACGCACACTCCCATCCCAGAGAAGCCATCCCTCTGACGCCCCTGGTGGCACAAATAGCTCAAGCACTTGGCTACTCACCCAAAAGTGGGGGTCTCAGTGCACCCAAATAGGTGTGCCTTGTCGTGGGGATCCACTTCCGAGACCCCAGCCTGTGGAAACCCTAAGGAGGGCAGATCTAGGCACCCACGCGGGGCTCTGGGGTGACAGCTCAACTCAACAGTGACTATTTTTTCTGGATCTTTCCTGGGTACCCACTCGTTGACCTACACGTGGACAATGATGGACACAGAGGCGGGTCAGCAATGGCCAGTGCCCAGCACACACCGTCTGGGCCCAGGAGGCCCTCAAGCAAGGGGGCGGGGCAGAGCTCAACAGTCAGCCACAGGGCCACCCCCTATCCCCTGTGCCTGAGGAGATGGCCTGGCCACTGCCCCATCTGAGCCCCCATCATGGCAGGGGGCCAGCCCTAAGTGCACCTGGACAGACAAAGCCGGAATCCGCTTACGAGGTACGCAGATAGCAAATCCAGTTACCGAGGCAGAGCCCAAGGCCAAGTCGGGGGGTTAATCCCGCCTTAGAGAGGGAGGGGTGGCAGGGGAGGGGTCACTAAAGGCTCCACCTGCTGCTGCTGCTGCTAGGCTCTGACTCAGCAGAAGGAAGCACTGTCCAGTCCTGCGCCAGCACCAGCCACTGCCGTCTGCGGCCCTGGTTGCAGCCGCTGTGTCCATCCATCCGGCCGAGGCACCTCTTCATCCGCCCCCCTCACTTTATCAGCCATGCCCTTCTCCAAGGACCCGTCCCCCCTGGCAACACGTCCAAAGTGTGTGACAAGGTGTCTAGCCATCCCTGCCTCTAAGGTGCGTTCTGGCTGTACTTCAACTGCTACTTGTTACACAATGCACAATTTTAAAGCACATTTCCTACATTAAGTCTTTTACAAACTAACGGGGGTAGGGGTGGGTTTGGAGGGGGTGGTCTTCTGCATGGTACAATAAAAAGGCAATTTCCATTGCTTCTTTGTATCAAAGAGGAAAGTTGTGGTTGTTTACTACAAAAGTGACTTCCCAATCATTAGAAAGGAGATAGAAGCAGGGAGGTGGAGTGGGGTCTCTTTGGGTGAGCTGCAAAGTGGCAGACCTGATTCTAATGGTGAGACCTTCGCCAGCCCAGGAGGGGTCTCAGCCCTGACCCTGGGGTAAGGCAGGTGAGGAAGAAGGCCACATTGGGGGGCATGGAGGCCAGCAACAGCCCTCCACGGTCCCTGCTGCCCACCCCCACCCTCCTGCACCAGGAGAGCCGGGCAGGAGCAGCCCCTGGGGTGCAGAGCGCACACGGGCCACGCCACCCCAACCCCTCCTGTGGGGACCCCTGTGAGGGGCGCCAGGCATGATTTCACAGACCTCTTATCAGGAGAAAAGGACCAGGCAGGGCCAGCAGATGGGGCCCTGGGCTGACTCCCTGGAGGGAGGCAGGGGCCCACTGTGTGGGGCTGGTGGCCACCTCAGGGAGCTAATAAATACTATTTACAAGCAGGGAGGGGAAGGGAGCTGGGAGGTCAGGGAGGGGGCATTGGGGGAACCACTTCAGGGTGGGGACATCTTGCTAGAGGGAGGGAAAGCCTGGCTCCCACAAGCATTGCACGTGCGGCCTGAGGCCACCCCGCCAGTCAGCGAGGGCAGGGGGCGGCAGTGGCGGGGTGGGAGGGTGTTGGACCACCTGATGTGTTTGTGGCTGGAGTTTGGGGTCCCAAGTGAGTGAGAGGTATCCTTCTCCAGGAGGTAAAGGTCAGGGGTGGCAACCTTGTCCAGGAGGTGAGGGTCAGAGGGTGGTGTCCTTCTCGAGGAGGTGAGGGTCAGTCAGATGTCCTTCTCTATGAAGTGAGGTCAGGGGGCGTCCTTCGGGGGGGCAGGCTGCTCTTTGGCACCTTCGCTGAAGCAGCCCTCCTGCCCCCTGTCCAGTGACACTGTCATTTCCTATGGCTGTAAGAGATGGCTGGGGGGGAGGGGATGAACATGGAGCTGGGGCCGAATTTGCTCACTGTCGACGGGGTCTCCCTGTCCACAGCCCCTGGATGGTTACCCCCATTCAGACGAGGCAGCAAGAGGGAAGAAGCAGATGTCCACGGATGGGGTTGGACATGTAGCTATTGGGGGGTGGGGGTGGGGGCCGCCTCTTAAATGGTGGCGTTCACCCTTCTGTCGAGCTGGACGATTTTCAGCGTTTCGTTCCCCTCCAGCTTGGAGCTGAGTCTGAGGAGGGAGAGAGAGGAGCAGGAGGTTACCCCTCATGCTCTGTGCTCTCCCACTGCTGCCACTGGGGCTGGCCCAGGCTCCCTCGTCCTGCCCCTTCCTAATGGCCATTCTCTGTCCCCAAGTCTCCCTCCCCTCGGTCTCTGCTCCTGCACTTCTGAGATGACCCATGGTGCCTGGATGCACGCTGGTCACAAATAGGCTTTACGACTGCATAGCTGACGGACTGACGGACTGCATGGCTGGCTGCATGGCTGGCTGCATGGCTGACTGCATGGCTGGCTGCATGACTCCATGGCTGACTGCATGGCTGTCATTGACTCGCTGCATGAGGACTCTCTCACGGGTTGCATTACTGACTGCCTGCATGGCCGACTCTATGGCGGACGACTGACTGACTGCCTGCCGGCCTGGCTGCCCAAGTGGCTGTATGAGTGCCGTGATGCATGCCTGACGCACGAGCTGTGCTGTGTTGGCTGGGAACAATCCGACCTTTGTCAGACACCGGGAAGAGAGCAAACCCGGGACCTGACCTGGCTCCCATTCCAGAACAGTTAAGTTACCCACAGGGGGTAAAACATGAACCAAGTAGAAACAGTAATCAGTGTACTCATAGAAAACCACCAACCAGGTCACCCCCCCAGGAGTGTGTGTGGGACCCCTCCTTCCCGTGGTAACTGGGGTCCCACAGCCTCCCGGTCCACACTCACGAGACTGGACCGTCGCATGGGCTGCACGTCACAAAAGGAATAATCCCATAACTGCTGGATGAAGCCGCTTGCATTAGGAGCCAACAATCTGTGAGCGGCAATTTGGGGGCCCCTGTGTGCATAATGCCTGACGGTGACCCCATCCTAACTGTGCCATTGTCCCATACCCACGGTTGTGTGGGCGTCCATGGCGAGACTAATCTGCCTGTGAATCAGGAGGCCCTGTGCGCTGAGGAGGGGTAACTGTTCCTTGGCTTGGCAAGGCTGCCTCCTCTCAGAAGGAGATCTGAGTCCAGTTCCAGCTGCCAACCTTGGGGCTCCATGCACACTCATCTCAGGCCTCGGGCATGCAGCTCCCGGGGACACCCAATGTAGCAGACATGTGGGAGCGCGTGGGGTCTTCTCCCTGTCCAAGCTCCGGGACTCCCACAGCCCCTGCTTCAGGAAAGCACCTAACGCAGCAGGGGATGGGACAAGCTGTGGCACAGAGGGGAGACGGGGCGGGGGTGGGGGCGGTACCACTCACAGGTGCTGCTGGAGCTGCAGGAACACGGCCTTCTCCAGGCTCATCTCCTTCGACCGGAAAAACGGGGACAGGTCCACATCGGGCCTGGACTCCAACCCCGCCGGCCGGAGCAGGGAGGAGCCCCTGTCCCAGCTGCCCAGCTCCCCCGGCGAGGCCCCACCAGACGGCTCCTCCAGTGGGGAGGGCTCCTCGTAGATCAGCAAGTTCCTGGACCGCACTGGGGAGAGGGCGGACAGGGCCCCATGAGCAGAGACCCGGGGCATCCATGCCCGTGGGCATCCTCAGGGCCTGGACAAGGGTGCCAAGGACGGTGGTCTTTTCCAGAGACATGGAACAACTCATGTAGAACAGGAGCCCAGCCCCGGAGCTGTGGAGCCAACTCCTTCCTAGGGAGGAAGGCTGGCTGGGAGAGCGGAAGGCGATAGAAGCCATTCCGGATTGTGGAACCTGGGACGCAGCCGCAGAGGTAACGCTGTCAGTCAAAGGGCAGAGGCCCGCCTTCCCCACACCTTTGTTGAACCTGCCAGCTTGGCTGCCAGCTGGCTGGACCCCAAACCTCCCCCCGCCACTCCTGCGGGAACAACGCTGTCACGGGCTCCAGTTCACCTTCAGAGATGCATCCCCCTGGGGAAAGGATTTCCTAACTGGCCCCTGAAATTATGTTGTCGAAAGGCTCGCACCTGTCACATACCTGCAGGGATCCATCCACCTGCCAGGAAAACCAGACCTCACGCACATCCTTAGAAGGGGCAATGGCTGGGTGAGAGTCTCCCAGCGGATACCTGGCCCGCCCGTTTCAGGTGTGTTATTTTCCAGGATGATGGAGGCTTGACTTTCATTTTAGGAACCCTCACTATGGTAACAGCCCCACTGAGAAGAGGCAGGGACACGAGCGGTCTCTTAAAATATCGTGGCACGTTTAAAGCCCCCGTGCCCCACCCCTGAGAATTCACATCCCACCCCCACATCAGAGCTCAGAAAGGCAAGATCGGGGTTTATCATGCGAGCCCGGCCCAGAGCAGCCGTTTGCAGAGTGCTTGTGGAGTTCTAGAGAGTGCCTGCGGCGTCTCTGCCCGTGCAGGGTGAGGGGCCTGCGGAGGTCCAGCAGTGTGTGCCAGGAGGGCTGCGAGAGCAGGCAGGCCTTCTCCAAGGTCCCGCTCACGAGTCTGAACACTGGGCTCCAAACGCACGCAAACCGTGTCCCGTGCGGTGCTTACCCACGGAGGCAGTGTAGGGCTCTGGTGCCGACTGTTGGCTGGGCAGTGCCATCTTCGTGGCTGAGGGATAGGGCCCTGAGCCCTGGATGATGCTTCCAAAGGCCACCGCAAAGCAGAGCGCGACCACCTGCAGGGAGGCACCCAGGGCAGGCATTCAGGTCCCCAGGCTGCAACAGGCCCTGCCCCCGTCGGTTCTGCCCACTGCACCAAGACCCTGCCCCCAGGCCCTACCCCCTCAATATCACACCCCCAACAGTGTCAACAGGCCCCCACCTCCAGTTGTCCCTGAAACTGTACCAATAGGCCTGCCCCCATTGCTGTGCCTCGCTGCGCTAAGCCCCATCCCAGGCCCTGCCTCGATGCTCACACCTGTGCCCTACGGCTTCAATAGGTCCCACCTGTCCCCACTCCACCCTGTGCCGACAGACTCCACTCTCCTGGCACCTCCAGGCTGTCCCAGGAACTGTGACCATGCCACAGCCCAGTCAGGTGGCAGCAGAGCTGCCCGCAACATCCCTCCAGCCCTGGACAAGGGGTCCCCCTGGAGCCTCACCATGAGGCAGGTGCCCGTCTGTGTGCCTGCGAGCTTACAGGTCCGGGAGACCTTGCCCATGACCAAGGTTTGGAGCTTCTGCAGCTGCTGAAGGAGGGTCCTGCAGGTGCGACAGAGGGCAGCCATGAAGAAGGCTATTGGGGCATGGGGGATGGGGTAGGGGGTAGAGGGGGGCCTCAGCTGGCGGCCAGTTGGCAATTCAAACCGCGCCCCCGCCCCCAATGCCACTGCAGAGGAAACAGGCAGAGCCACCTGTATCTGGACAGGGCTAAGCCAGCTAACTCTTGGGGGCAATTCTCCACGTCACTCACAGGCCAAACCAACCACAGCCAGCGAACCACAGGGGTTCAGGAGACCAGGCTGCTTTCTGCAGCCAGGGGCTGCAGCTGCCACCCTGGGGGCTGTGCCCTGCTTTAGAAACGAGGATCCTGAGCAGTGGCCCCTGGAGGGCGGAAGGCTCCCGTCTACACGCCGCATGATGGTGACAGATGATAGAGATCATGGACACTCCTGGGTAGGGGGAGGGGCGGGGCTCAGCCGATCAATTGTGCCACCGCCTGGTGAGACCTCCTAGGTGTCATAAGCCTTTTTGTAAGAGAGAAAGCGCAGTGCTGAGTCCTCTTGGGCCCTTTTTGCCTTCTGCCAGAGCTACATCCTGTGTCTGGTACGTAGAGCTCCTGTTTTGTCGCCTGCTGGTCCCAGGAGCCTCAGTGGACTGCCAACGGTGGATTCATTAGCGGACTCTGGACCTCTGCCTCCACCAGCCTGTGCCCGATGCCTCTGCTTCATGCTGCTTCCTGTCCATCAGCTTCTAGAGTCAGGAGAAGCCCGACTTGATCCACCCTGGACTTAGCTATTTCTACCACTGTGTAAGCCATAGAGCTCTATGTAGCACGGGGCCCGGGGTAAATGGTTACACTCCGGGCTGCAATCCATTAGTTGGCAGTTTGAAACCACCAGCTGCTCCTCAAGAAAAAGATGAGGCTCCCGACTCCTCCAAACGGGTATAATTCTGAAACTCGATGAGGGCAAGTCTACTTTCTCCCGTAGTCACTATGAGTCAGCATTGGCTCGGCGACAGTGAGTTTGTGTCTGTTGTGTTTTGGATAGAGAACAAATACAAGCATCACTGGGCCTACTTCTCTAGAGTCCAGCCTAACACACTCGGTGAGCGCCTTCCCAGAGCCCCGTATGCGGATGTTCTGATATCTCTGCGGGAGTAGGGTGCTGCAGGGGCCCGCTTCGCGGAGACTGTTGACTTTTCTTCTTTTTAAAATTACATTCCCTAATTTTTGCTCACAGTCAGCACGCATTACTTGTTGGTTTTGTTTTGGTGTCTGAATAGGGTGCTGCGGTCTGAGGTGAAGGAGCAGCCATTGTGTAGTGGGTTACGCGTCTCGGAAACCCACACGGGCAGTTCTAGCCTGTCCTATAGTGCTGCTATGGGCCAGCATCGACTCCATGGCAGTGAGCCTGAGGTGACGTTCACAGGAGCAGGCAGGGAAGACCCCCCTATCCACAGTGTGACCTTCACAGGAGCAGGCAGTGCAGGACCACAGTCCACAGCCTGGCTGTGCCTCTGCTGCCCCCATGTGGCAGAGAGGAGGCCTGACACCCTGGAAACAAAGGGCATCTTGCCAGGCTCCTGGTGCTGTTTGCCTGCTCAGACACTGTCACAGGTAGGAGAGCCAGGGGGGACACTGTCGCCCCCTGTATGTATGTATGCTTGTGTGCGTGCATGTACGTGTATGCGTATGCACATGTGCTAGGTGTGCGTGCATGTACGTGTATGCGTATGCACATGTGCTAGGTGTGTGAGCATGCATGTGTGCCCTGTACATGCAAGTGCACGCATCTATGTATACCCTAGTGAGTGTGTACGTGTTTATACGTGTGCGTGTGTGATCATGTCTACGTGTGGGCATGCATTATGTGTGCATGCATGTGTGCACAAGTGCATATGGACCTGAGTCCATGCGTATGTCCACATGGGCATGTGTGTGTGCATGTGTACGACACACATGTGCAGCAGGTAAGCTGGGTGAAGCAGGGCCACTTTGCGCGTGGGCACAGCTGCACTGCTCAGGTGGTCTGCCTGCTCTCCCCATCGGGCCTCAGCCCCGCCTCTCACTCCAGCGCTTGCACCTGTTGGTGTTCTCTAGCACCTCCACCTTCTTCCGCAGCTCCAGGTTCTCAGTTGAACAAGACTCCACTCTGCAGAGGGGAGAGAGAGAGAGGAGAAAATCAGAGCCCCGGGCACACAGGAGCCAATCTCAGCTAGGAAGAATGGTAAGGATCCAGAGAGAGAGAGAGAGAGAGAGAGAATAGGCCAATACAGAATAAAGACCTCATCCAGGGCTGCAAGCTTGCTTCCTTCCACCTCATGCCTGTCTGTGTCCTCAATACTACTGGGGTCCCTGAAGGAAGGACTGAGGAGCTGGGGGGCTGGGGTCAGAGGGCAGTCGGGGCAAGAACTCAGGTCCTAAGACAAGGAATCCTGATTCCAGACTTGTGTGCCCTTCAGGGTCACTGAAGCCATGTCCACTGCCCCACCCCCACCCCCACCCCCGGTCACTGCAGTCACGTCTGCTGCCCACTCCACCCCAGACTATCATGGAGGTGCAGCTCTGGCCTGGCTCCCACGGACCACGCATGAATGTGGCACCTGGAGAACAATACTCTAGGACAGGCACAGTATTGCACGTCATCTGGTTTGTCACCACCCCACCTGACCCTGCGTCTCCCGGACGATGGAAAGATGTCATTCGTCCAGGCTGTAACTGAGCGCAGGCAGACTGGTAGTGCCCAAGTGTGCAGCGCAAACCGAGCTCCCTGGACTTTCAGACTGCCAGGTATTGCCCCTGAGGGGCCTCGGGGTGGGCTCAAACCCCCACCCTGTTAGCCGGCAGCCAGGCACGCTAACTAGCTGTCCAATAGGTGGGCTGCAGCATGCTCTGTAAGTGCAAAGCCTCACCATGGCCATCACCCCGTTGCTGACTCAGCGACCCTGTAGGACAGGGTGGCACTGCCCCCTGGGGTTCCGAGACAGGAGCTCTTACTGGATTAGAAAGCCTTGTCTTTCTGCAGCGGAGCAGCTGGTGGGTTCAAACGGCTGACCTTGCAGTTAGCAGGGTAAGGTATAACCCACGACACCACCGGGGCTGGATGTATCGTGGACAGATGAAGGACACCCGCCCGACTCCTCCCAGGCTCTGTGGCTGAGAGAACATGGCTGACAGGTACACAACAGCGCCCTGCCCCAGGGAGCCCAGACTGTGCGCAAATGTCCCCATCTGTCCTGTGAGAGGAAGGCAAGACTCAGTGCTGGTGGACCAGGGCCACAGGCATCGAACACACACTCCCTTTTCCTGCAAACCGCCACTAGGTGGCAGGCAAGCACCGCCGACAACCTCCAACCCCCCAAAACCCAGGTCCACTGCCTTTGACTCAATCTGAGTCAGGGCAACCCTCGGGGACCGGGTAGAACTGGCCTTGCGGTTTCTGAGGCTGTAAACACCTGGCAGGAGTAGAAAGCCTGGTCTTTGTCCTGCAGAGCGGCTGGTGGTTTCAAACTGCTGCCCTACGGTTAGCAGCCCAATGCGTAACCACTACCCCACCTGGGCCCACGGCAGCCCTAGGGGGCAGAGCAGAGCTGCCCCACAGGACTTC